TGATCTGCCTCGCCAGAGAAGAGCGCAATGATGGTGCCAACTTGGGCCAGTGAAGCAACATCCTCCACAACTAGATTGAAGAACAAAAACGACAGCAACTTGACTGTTCCCCTTTCCCCAATTCCCCAGCACTGTTCCCATCCCCGCAATTCCCCACCCCCACCCCAAAAAAAGAATAACATACTTAAAATGTTGGAATGATCTCCAGACCTCCGAAGATAAACATCCAGCGGAGACAGCCTCAACAGTCCTCATTATTATCTTTTACCTGCATACCTCTGTAAACTATGGATGTTATAAAATGTTCACTATCCTGCACCCACCAATGTAAAAGAAACATGTATCTCTCCATTTTACTTTTTATCCAATCCTAGAGATTTTCTCGCTTTCCTTTCTCCCATATCCATAATCTGCCACCAATGGATTTCATATAACCTTTCTTAGGTTTTCACCTTCGAATCTAATGTATAAAATACACTGCAAAACTGCTATTCCTCAGAGCATTATCTCAACCCTTCGAGAGTTTGCTTCAGGGCTCCAAAACCTTGGCTCTAATAAACTCTAAACTATTTTTTTAGGTTTGGAATTTCTTTTGTGGACACCTAATAACTCCCACAAACACCACAGATTTCCCACACTTTTGCCAAAACCGGACATTACCAGTCATTTAATCTGTAGCCAGTCCATGACGGTTAAGGAAATGACGAGAAGCCAGTGTGGCTGGAACAGAAAGGACAGGTGGAGCCCAGCGGGAGATGAGCCTGAAGAGGTGGTGACATTGGGCAAGAACAGCGCGTAGCCTGGAGGCGTCCTCATAAACACCTGCTCTTATTACTGACAGCATTCGGAAGCACCCCAACTTAACCCGCCGACTTGGGCATCGGAAGAGGAGCCACGTGCCCGCCGCAGAGGCGTGTCCTCCGCAGGCCCCGCCTTCGCTGCGTGCGCACATCGGGCCGCCCTCGCGCCCGCCTTCTCGCTTAGCTGCAGCGGTGGCGCCTGAGCAAGTCACTGACTGACTGGCGAACGCGCTACAGACGGGCGACGAAGCAGACCCGCGGCTGGTGAGTGGCCCCCGCCATCCAGGGACTCCCTTCAGGCTCCTCGGCGGGCTTTGACGGGCCTGGGCCTTCGGGAGCTGGGTTCCGCAGGCCGCAGTCCGCTGCGCCCCCGGCGCCGGCCTGAGGGAGACCCAGCGGGCCCGGGCGGGGGGCGGCGGAAGCGGGGTGAGCGGGAGGGGGTTGGGCGTGGGGGAACCCCGTTTGGTAGACTGAGTTTGCCAGGGCCCGGGAGACCCTGCGGCCCGTTGGCGTTGGGCCCCGTTGGGTACCCCCCTCCCGGCGTCGCGACTGCGCTGGGTGAGGTGACCCCGGGGTCGCAGCCGGTGGACTTGGCGTTCTCGGCGGAGGTTGCAGCTTTTGACCGCCCGGCCGACACGTCCGTCCATCTTGGGCCTGCGAGGACTCGGACCTGCCCCAGCGCCGGAGATGGGTGCCCGGCGTGGTGGCTTGTCTTGTGTTGGGCCGTGGCTCTGCCCTTCCTCCTCCTGACTCACCTTAGTCAGAGGGACCTTTCAGTCACTCTAATGACTTCATGAGTGACCCGCGGCCGCCATGGTGCAGAGAGTCGGATTGGGAGGGATCAACGCCAGGGGCAGCCGGTTAGTCTGGGCAGGGAGTTTACCTGTCACCTCATAAGCACAGTGCTCTGGGTGTATTAATTGCCCCGTAAAAGCTGCCATGACCGCCTTGCCCAGCCTCAGCACAAGGCCTGTCTGTCATGCCATTTAAATTGGTTCTGATGAACCTGTTGTTGTGGCCTGTGGCTGTCGTCGTTCTTGTGTTGTTTATGGCTCTGTGAACCAGACAAGGTGCAGCATGATTTAAAAACGAAACAAAACACCGTCCTCTACAGTTCAGGAAGCCCTCTCACTCTCAGGCCCTTCCAAAACCAGGTGATAGTTTTCCCGCTTGTAAATGGGGTTAATGATGAGACTGGGGTTAAGTTAATTGATCTGCATCCCATAACCAGGAAGATGGCACAGATGGTCTTGAACCTGGTCGTCTGCGTCCAGATCGGATGCTCTTTCTAAACAGAGTTGTAGAATTTGGAAATGGATTATGTTATTTAAGCTGTCTTCCCCATCCCCCTAAGCTGTCCTTCCCAAGTAGAGGAAACAAGAGCTTACTGATTTTGTGTATATGAATTTCTGGTATGGCGTTTACCAGTGTGTTTTGATTAAAAATTTAACTCCCATATTATAGTTTTTCTTCTGGGAGGAGGGAGATGAGGAATACACATTAGTAAATCTGTGCATTATTCATTAGGTTTTTTTCCAAGAAACATCATAAGACAAAACATCACAAGTTTACCAGGAGCTCACAGTTCAATTGGGCAAGTAAACACAAGTTTACTTGGTGAAATTGGAAAAAGTTTTCAAATATAGTGCCTAAGCCAGAACACTGGTGAGGGGTCATGGAAACACACACTCATTGTGTGACCTTATCTAACGGGTTGTGAAGAGGAAAATCTGTGATTTCCTCATTGTCTGACTTGATTTGCTTGTTCCCTTTGCTTGGGCCAAAAAGGTGAGATGCCGTGAGTCTCTAGAGTCAGTATTAGTTACTCTAGAAATGACAATGCGAAGAAGACGAGTTACAGAAAATAAAGTATTCATTTTCTTTAGCTCACCCCTCATCAAGACTGTCAAAAAGCAAAACTGGACAGCTGGGGCCTTTGGGCTACCTTAGTTTTTTTATTTTCTTTTAAAAGCTGACTATTTTCATAGTACAGTTGGGCTCTGATCAGTATTGCACCAAAAACTGGAGTATCACTCTTCTAGGAGGGAGAATTTATATATTTTGCAAGAAATCCTCTCTGAATGACCAATGTCTTTCCATTTAAGAATAACAATGCGGGCTGCCAGTTCGCTCAGATGGTTAGAGCACAGGCTCATAACACCAAGGTTGCCGGTTCGATTCCCACATGGGCCAAGGAGCTGCACCCTCCACAACTAGATTGAAGATAATTACTTGACTTGGAGCTGATGGGTCCTGGAAAAGCACACTATTCCCCAATAAAATTTCTTAAAAAAGAATAACAGTGGTTAGTGGAGTTCACAATGGATAATTTAAAGGTGTACAGCTATTGTAAAGGGAATCCATTTACAAACAGCCCATCAGAGGATTGCATCTAAATTGTGATCATGGCCAACTGAAATGGAGCTGGGAACTTGTTCTGGATTGTCACATCAACCACATCTATATTCAGACCTTGTACAAGGCAATATTCTGAACTGTTAACTAAGCATTTCAAAACAGCAGTTAAATTCATGAGGCTTCTGTCAGTGAGTCGGTTTTAAAGTTACTTTGATATAATTTTAGCAAACAGGCATTTAGCAAACATGAGTTTATGTGATATATATTTTTTAAGCAAACATTTTATTTTATTTATTTTTTTAAAAAGATTTTTATTGGGGAATTGGGGGAAGGGGAACAGACAAGTTGTCCTTTTGTTCTTCAGTCTAGTTATGGAGGACATTGCTTTACTGGCCCAAGTTGGCACCATCATTGCGCTCTTCCCAGGTGAGGCAGATCAGTCGTCGGCTTCTGGACGGCCGCTCACTGTGGCTGCTGGCTATACACGGTAGCCCATGGCAACCCACTGCAGCAGAGGCTGCAACCTATGCCCTCACCGGAGACTCATGGCAGCCCAGCTCCAGGTTGAGCTGTTGTTCAGCATCTTAGCTGTAGAGGGCAGTGTCACTGGCCCTCATATGTGGGATCCGAACCAGGGCCCTCTGGCGTCCCAAGCCAGCTCTTAACCAACACGCCACTCGGCCAGCCCTTAAAGCAGACATTTTAATAGTGATCCAAGGGCTGTCTATCTGTATGGAAAAGGAATTGCATCAGAGTGTGGGTATTCTTGCTGTTCAATGATGTGATGTTAAGGAGGGTTCTTTTTTTCAAATGTATGCTTGAGTATCTCACCCTGTGTAAAGTCTACAGATACGCTGACTGTACTTCAAAACGATTGAATTGTTAAGTACAAAATTAAGCTAATCGATAAATTTGTAACCATTTTTTCACTCAAACAGCTATTCAACACAGGACAATTTTGTTTCACATGTATGTGTATGTATCCAAATACATACATATTCGTTTACATTAGAGTGAAAAACAAATAGTTTGCTTCTCCCAAAAAAGGAAGTTGTGGTGGTATATTTTTGGCCATGAAAAAAACATTGAAACCCTTTGAGCTGCAGTTTCTGCATCTGAAAAATTAGGTTAATACTTGATGAAACTTAAAAAAAGTCTTGGTGCCTTGAGTGCCGCTTATTGATAGATGGGTTTCCAAACCTTTGTGTTTTGGTAAGTTTGAGATTGGGCCTAGGAATCTGTGTTTTTACAGTTTCCCGTGTGATTCTTGTTTAGAGCCCTGTTGTCTAAAAGTATAAGCTGGACAGAGAGGGAGTTGACTGGCAAGAGGGTAGAGAAGCGAGCATGATACATGAGGAAAGGGAGAGCAGAAGAGGAAAGAAAGGGGTGATTGTTACATGGCAATAACTGCTGTCAGCTTGTATGCCAGATGCCAAGCAAGAAGATACTCTCTTTTCTCTGTTTAGGGGAAAAAAAATTAATTTTTGTCACACGAATAGATTTGTTTCCTTCCCAGGAGTATCATAGGCCTAATTATTGTTATAGTTCTAAGTAACTTTAAAAGGGCTTTGGAGAAGAATGGCGTAACAGAGACAGGTGTCTTGCACTCCGCCTGCCTGACATTTTCTAAATACTCCCAGCTTCCTGCCTTTCTCCTGATGAGTTCTCTCAGTCTCAGAAAACTCAAGTTTCACTGTCTTGTATTGTATTCAATCCCAAAATTACTTGAGGGCTGTGGGAAGGCATTAACATGAGTAAACAATCTGCCATCATGCCTTTAGCTGACCCAGTTGGCTGGCCTGCCTCATGTTGATCATATTTTTTATGCCAAACACTGGGACCCATAGTTTGAGCATACAGGTAATACTGAAGGAATTGATTGCTGCGACAGGATATTTGAATCAGAACTGTCCTGGAAAATCTGGAATATAAGGCTGTATCTTCAGCACTGTTTTCTGTATTGCACAAAATTATATTTCTACTATGGTATACCTTATTGTGCTGTTCCTCTCCCTCTCTCTCTCTCTCTCTCTCTCTCTTTCTCTCGATCTCTCGATTGAAAGCTACTTGAAGCTACATGGTCTTATGCCTTATTGTAGTCACAGAGCCCATGAACAGTATAAATGTTTGTTGATGATAATATGGCATGTCACATGCCTGAACGTAGTCATCCACTTCCTTAGATACTGGGTCTGCTGTTCTCTCTGGCAAGACCACTACAGGCTGCTGCAGAGAAACTGTGATCACCTGGAACTATTTCCAGGGCAGCCTGGAGGAGGGCAGGCAGGCAGGTGAAGAGAAAGAATTAGTCAGCAAAACTGAGTGTGGGCTGGGAAGGCAGTGTTTGAAGGCAAATGAGAAAAACAGACATAGTGAAGTGGCCTAACACTCTCTTCTTGGGGTTTTTTTTCTACAGGGAGGCAAGGGGAGAGTCAGGCCTTCTTTTGCTTAGTAATAGCTGGTATCCCAATAATTGGAAAATAACTTTTAAAACACTCCTTTCCTCTGCCACACACTTGGGTTTCTGTCGATCTCAGCAAAATTTCCAGTTGTCTGTGCTCAATGTCATGTTCGTTCTGTTTGTAAGCCTTTTTGTGTTTGCAAAGTCAATAGTGCTTTCTTGCCTTTGCATTTGGTTTTCCATGGCATAAGCCAAGATTTTAAAGAAGCTAATTTTCAAGTACAAATGCCTAAAAGTAGAAGGATAAAGAAGCAGTGATATCTGCCGATTTGGCAAGCATGTATTGCCTCTATGGTATACAGAGTATTGGCAATGAGGGGGTGTGCAAAAATAGCAGCAAACCAGCGTAGTCATTGCTCACTAGGAGATGGCAGTCACCTTGGGGACAGCAAACAGTAAAATTACTTTGTAAGGTTTACGATTATCATTCTGACATTCAGTATTC